CATCGCACGAGCGTCTCCGCTTCCCTTTCCCTGTCAAGCAAAGAAGATGGCGTTTGCTTTTAAAAAACTATTGTCACGGTCTCGGGTGAACAGCGTGCGGCCGAGCGCTCCCCAAACACCCCACTAACCATCTGGCAGCACCCCGAGGAGCTTCTCACCTACGAGGTTCAGCCTGGGCACGATGTACATGTCCTTCTCGTTGATCACCAACGTGGGCGCAGGGGGAGGAGGCGCCTCGGGGCTCTCGGGGGTTTCGGGGACCAGCGGGCACCTCTGCACAAAGTGCGTGTCCGCCAGGCGCACGAACGTGTTGGAGACGTCAGCGTAATCCATCGTCTTCCCGTCTAGGCCAGAGGATAGAGACGGCGGCGTCAAGCTCTGCCAGCCCCCGCGTTGCTCCTGCGGCTCCAGAGGACGAGGTGACGCTGTGGTCCTCAAAGAACCGCTACGAGAGGCTGCTCGGAGGCCGTTTTGGGGTGGGGGGCAGCATTTATAACCCCTCTGGCAGCGAGGCCGCTTTGGGTGGCTCCTTCTCCAAGTTCACGGCCAGCTTTCCACTGTAACGCAGCCCACAGAGCCTCTGGTACCACATCCACCGAGCAAAACCCGCCTCCGGCAGCCGCTGCACCTCCTCCCACTCCCGGATCCCTTTTTTTAGGGAGAAGAGATTCCCACCTTCCATCGTTTCAGTCAGCCTGTCCGCCACCTTCCTCACCACCGCGCTCATCGTCATCTTGCCGTTGAGGAGCAGCTCCTCCACGATGAGCTCACCCGTGTCGTTGTAGAGGGTCTTGGCGGTGTAGATGTAACGCGGGTAGCGGAGGATCCTCAGGACTCGCTTACACTGGGCCTCGTACTCCACGAAACCTCGCTTCTGCAGCTGGTACGTCACCAGGTTGTGTTGGATGAGGACGCAAAGCGCTTTCTTAACCTGCCCAAGGCAGAGCGGGGCTCGGTTACGTGACAGAGAAGCCCACGCTGCGCTCAACCCCCTTCATGGCAGTCAGGGAGCCTTTCCTCCATCCACAGCCGCCATTTTCCCCCCGCTGTGACTCTCCCCAGTGCTGAGCTGCTTGTGTCACCACCTTGTCCCCTGCGCATCATCCCTGTCCCTCTGGACTCTATTCCCCGCCTTTGCTCCCTACAGAGAAGTCAGAGTTACACTCTGCTCTTCCTGGACCACCTTTTAATTGAGGTAACGAACCATCTCTCCCACTTAAGAAAACCCACCTGATTTTTTTTTTTTTTTTATAAGCAGCAAAACGCTTATTTGTCCTTCCCAAGGTTTTCCTACAGTTTCTCCTTTGGGAGCAGCAGCGGTGGTGACTGACAGCTCGGGCTGATATCAGAGCTGTCCGGGCTGCGTTATCTCACACCTCCGATCGCACCCAGGCTAAAGCCGACGCGGGCGGGTTTGAGACGTACCTGATCCAGCAACAGCCCCGTGTCATTGATGATCATCCGCAGCGGCTGGGTGCCCGTCCTGATAAGATAAGTCCCTATCTTCTCCACGATCTCCCCAAAATGTTCTTGCAGCAGGAGGGAACACAGCTTTATTTCCGCCTGAGTCATCTCGACGGCAGATTAAAACACCCGGTGGTGCTGGAGAAGAGAGTTGATGTTATTACGGCTGTTTTGGGGGGACTGGAGGGTGGGGGCCATGCTGCTGCCGCCCGGGGAAACCCATCTGCGCTCCGTCCCAAAATGGACGTAGGGTGGGAGACCGAGTCTTGAGGGAAACCAGCCCCTGATGCCGCAGCGGGGGTGAGATGGAGAAGGGACGGACACTCTGGCACACGGCTGGTCCCTGCGTCCCCTCCCGGGGGATGGCAGCCCTGGCAGAGCGGGCCTGCGTCCATGG